ACTTCTTCTCATTCTCAATTGCTTCAAACACAGCAAACAGCTCCTTATCAGAGCACACATGCCTCGTAGTACCGGTATCAATCCACCACTCCTTAGGATTTAAACCCACCATATTTACTTTAGAAACGATGGCTGAGAGATTTAGCTTCGATACATCTTTTGCCATGTAGTCAACCACATTTGCTTCTTTCTTCTTCTTTGGCAATCTGTACTCCAAAGACTTGTGTCCCACTTTGTCATAATTGAAGCATTTCCCTTGAAATTTCTTCTTAGAAATTCCACCTTTCGATCCTTGCTTGGTCATTTTGCCACCGAATGGCCCAAACTTGTTTTTATAGTTCTTACTACTTTGACCAAACTCCACAACATTAGCTTTAGCCATACCAGGATTGAACCACTTCTTTTCAGAACTCTTGTTTTTTTCTTCAATTCGAAGTCTAACAATTAGTTCTTCGACGTTCATTTCCTTTCGTTTGTGCTTCAAATAATTCTTAAAATCTTTCCATGCGAGAGGCAATTTTTCAATAATTGCAGCCACTTGAAAAGTTTCACTCAAAATCATTCATTCGGCATGAATATCGTGAAGAATCACTTGGAGTTCTTGCACTTGACTGATAATTGTTTTGGAGTCCACCATTTTATAATCTAGGAATCTGTTGCCCCGGCATCCTCAATTTTATATTTTCGGTCCAAAGACTCCCACAACTCTTTAGCAGTTTTCATAGTATTATACACATTGTATACATGTTAAGGTGTTTATAATATAGTTTCGACATAAAAAATTCAAATGGTTCCAAGCATCAAGTGCACTGATTACTTGAACATTTCCCTCATCCTCATTGAGTTTTGGAGCAGTCTCAGTCAAGAATCTCGCAAGATTCAAAGTGGTCAGGTGAAACAGCATTTTTTGCTGCCGCCTTTGGAAATTCAAGCTGTTAAATTTCTCCGAATTTTCTCCATAATTAACCGGAACATTAACGGTATGACCAATTGTTGGAGCCACAGTTTGACTGACAACATGACTTGCCAATTTAGCTATAGTCTGAGCCACAACAAAACTTGGCCCTTGAGCCACAGCTGAGCCCATAGGCCGATTTCCAGTAGGCACAGTTTGGGTCATATCCATGTTGGTCGATTCGATTGCCATTTTTGAAAATCAAACAAAAAAATTTAGTTTCCAAAAATTAATAGTATAATAAACGAACTTTTTTCTTTGGGAATCTGTTTTAAGTTTGTTGGATTTTAGTGTAGTGGATAAAATCGGATTCATTTATACCGTATATGAACTTTACATGTTGGATTTATATATACCGTATATGCAACATATCGTATTTGCTGCTTATCGTATATGCAGCATACCATATTTATAGCATACTGTATTTGCAAAACATACCATATTTGCAACAGATTACCGTATTTACACCAAATTACCGCATATGCAACAGTTTACCGTATTTGCAACAAATTACCGTATATGCAACAATTTGCCGTATATGCAACATATCGATTTTTACAGTGAATTAAACATAGAATTTGAATTGCACAAACACATTTCATATATCAGTTCGTATATACAAAATTTATTATATAAATTGTGAGAATTATGTGTGGCAAATTATATTATTTACAGAGACACACAACTGGAAATCATATAAATCTGTTAATTAAATCTGGAAAGCATATAAATCTACAAATAACGAAATGCACAGAAACTTAAACTGGAAAGCATATAATTCTCTTTTAACTCGAGGCCTGTACAAGCACAGTTTCCTTAAAATAAATTCGTCATCTCACCGTGCGTGCTTGAGTTTTAATTCGAGCGTCTGTTTCCTAGGATACAATGGTAAAACCTGTAGTGTCTGAACACCATAGAAACTACTCCGACGAACTGATATAGCGTCTGAACAATATCACCACGACCTTACTGGACAAATATGTGTATGCAGGAAGAACTGAAAACAATACAGATGCAGATAGGAAGAGGATGATTTTTTCATCTGTGAAAATTGCTGAAAATTGAGTTTAATTATATAGACTTAATTTGTCCATTAACCATTGGAGTTATATAAGTTTCTAGAGTTTCAGAAACTCAAAAGTCAGTGGAGAAAGCAAGAAAAAAATTGCAAAACGTGGGCTCTCCAAAGGGGCCAATTTTTGCTTCGTTCGGTCCGACATTCGTGTACGCAGGTCGCGCTTGCACACAAGTTCAAGGTCCAAATGCAATTTCGGACCGAGATTTGCATCATCTTGCGCCTACACGTGGAGAGAGCCTCTATGTTGCACATGATTACACCTTTCCAATGTATAGCCATATTTAAAGTGGTTCTTGCTTTCTTATTTTTCCTATGTGGGACTAAACTCATTTTTTCCACAGAAACTATCTTTCAATGATCATATTTGAGCTTGAATTTCTCATTCACCCAAATTTCATTTTTGACAAATAAATATATGATTTTGATACTCTCATAGAAGAGAACACATATCAACTTTGATATTCCAAATTGGACCAACGGATCCCACAGAAACTTTTGCCAAAAGCGACGCATGTACTCATTTTTTTCCAACAATTCATAAATTAGAAAGACATTTTAAGTACACGAGTCGTGCGGAGAAAAATACAAGTTTAGGTGTTAAGGAAAAAAGAAGAAGTTAAAACAATACCAATACAATCAGGGACGGATGTAGGTGGGACTGGGCTAGACTATAGTCCCCCCCAAGGCCCAAGAATTTTTTTTTCGTGTTTGATGTTTTTCATTTTCAGTTTTTTTTTGGTAAAAATAATTTTTTATGTATAAACTTTGTTTTTTGTGTATTAGCCCAATTTGAAATTTTGTAACTCGGTATTGAATCCAATCCTTAATCCGTCCTTGAATACAACATACTAGATCAAAAGAATTTTCCACTGATGTCTTTGGGTCAATGTCAACGTTGGAAACTGAATGAGCAAACTGGAAAACTTGTGGAGGCTGTATAAATTGCTGTATAACAAGTGCTGTACAAGCATCAAAACCCAATAAATAATGGAAAGATGACTTCCGATGGAACAGATTATGATCGAAAAGGGTCCCCAATAAAAGGTCACTATAATTGATAGTTCTTGAAAGGTTTAGACCGTGCGGAGAGACGAATCCAATAATTCCAATATTCCAATCACTTTCTCATTTTATCTTCAATTTTAGTTCTCCATTATATGTACCCTCAAATTATAAAGAAAAATAACTACCTTTTTTCTCCAAATTTCATTAATGGAAATAGCGTGTTACTGTCTAATTTTAATTGACATATAAATTTTAATAGGACTAGGCAAAGTTATGACATGTTTAATTAGATCATGTTAAGCTAAGTTTAGAAATTGGACTGAGCTGCACTTACAGGGAGGATTCTTACGAATGTTTTACAGATTAGTCACAATGTGTGGGGTCGGTGTTATTTTTGGCCATTTTTTAATGCATCGGGTCCCATGTGGGCTCGACCTCCATGAGAGTGACCTGTAGAAGATCTGTAACTTCATCATCTGTACATCCAGTTTAATTCTTAGAAATTTACTTGTAAGTAAATAACAGAGTTTAAGCATGCATATTTCTTTTAAATGGTATATTTAACACCCAGTTTGAGGAGGAATAAAATCCCTACAATAAATTAAGCTAGTTAAATCTCTATAAATTAACCGTCTTAAAGTTCTAGGAAAATCTATTAACTTAAGTAATATCAAGTGATTTACAAAAGAATAGTTTATCGATTAATTTATAACTTACTAATTTATGAAGGTATTCCTTATTTTATTAAATAATATATGTTGTACAAATTAACAATTCTATTTAACCAAATAAAATTCACGAATCTACTTATTATTATTATTATTATTATTATTATTATTATTATTATTATTATTATTATTATTATTATTATTATTATTATTATTATTATTCCCAAAAATTTATTACAATGTTGAGAAAAGTTAGAGATGATATTCGAGTTGATATCAATTTCAAGAGGAAACAAATAATAATTGAGTCACATTTTAAAATGTCTAGTAGTCGAATATACGATTTTGATGTTCTCATAAACGAGAATATGAATCTACTTTGATATTTCAAAATGAAGGTACGGGTCCCACTCAAAATAGACCAAAATAGCCTCATATACAAGTCATTTATCAACATCTCCTAAATTAGTCTTTTACACTTGCTATGCAGATAAAGTGTGAAAATTGTTCACTTAGCGGCCGAAGAACACGAGAATCCTCAGATCATCATTCAACAATCAATCGGTGAACAACTGTCAATGTTTGCAAGTTATTAATCAAAACAGCCGATCACCACAATGGAAACAAAAGAGTTTAAATATCAAAACCCTAGGTAATATACTTAACCAAAATAAAATCATTAATAACTTAATTAAATTAAGAGAAAATTACACTCGTACATGGATTTTAACTTTCAACTTCAAAAATCAAGTTTAAAACTTATTTATTCAAAAATCAGGTCATAATTTAACTTTTAATTTTATTAATAATAATATTGTTAAGTCAACTTAAATCATATCACTCCCAAACTTATAAATTGATCCCAAATTTAATGTATACTGCTATTGAAGATCAAGATTTAAAAGACAAGACGAAGTTATGATATGTTTGGTAAGTTAGATTTGCTGTGCTATACATTTCTATACGTTAAGACACACGAAAATAATTCTCTCCCCTTGGTAGTTGGTATCATATTGCGACATTCCCTTTGACATGAAAATTAGTCGATGTCAAGAGTTACATCTAACCATATACGAAAACGTATGTCCCTTAATTGTTTAATTTAATGGCACGACATCAAATAGTATTAGTAAATTAAAATAAATTGAAATCTTGTTCGCCGAACGCCTGAAGACGTATTTGTCTAAGGAGAATCTTCACATTATATCACACGTTAATCAAAATGGAAGATCCCAATAATTAATGGCCACCTGAGAGCTTATGGTTTATATTTTAAGGTGTACTGCCATTGTAGTTCAAGCTTAACATTTTTCTTATTCAATATGCTCCATGAATTGGTGAGAGATCTATGGAAGGATTTTGACTGAATTATGGTTATGAAGATCCTTAAATACACCAAACAACTGTCAATGTTTTTTGCCATGGTTTTCTTCAAGTCAATTTCCTCCTTAGATTGTTCCTATTCTTAAGCACAAGAACCAGTTTAAATACTGTTATTTCAAGAATTCTTCCTCATCCAACAAAAATTCTCTTGGCTCTGAAAAAATTTTCTGTCGAATCATCAATCATTCTGTTCAAGAAACGTCTCCCCCAAACAAGCCTTCTTTCTCCTTCATAGGCAGTCATGAGAAAGCAAATGTGTTACATGCACAATTGGGTAGAGGTTGCCCCTTCTCCATTAATTTTCCCTTACAGAGCTTCCAACGCCCCAAAACTTGAGACGATTGCCGAAGAAGGATCCAACAAAATGGCTGCTTTCAACAAGAAAGTCATTTACCTACTTCCCGTGTTGCTTTCTTTTACGTCGTTCCTGTTGGTAAACAGATACGTCATGTTAATGATGTGAAGAAAATAAGCACTTTTTGGCACGTCTAGCATCGAAAGATTCAGTAATCGAGCCATGGACGTGCCTTCAATCCATGAATGTGCATGCTCCCAAGGGGAAATATAGCAATAAAATTTCAAGAAGTGAAAATGGCAACTTGGGGATTAACTCTGAAAAAATGTGTATGTATGTGTATCATGAGAGGTGAAGGAGATGTAAAGGATGGTTTGAACATGTGCCCAGGAGATTTGATAGTTTTCTCAGCTAAGAGTTTAGTAGAGATGATCTTTCATATCTGTAATGTTTTGACATATATGGATGATCTATTTGTGTAGGAGATTTCTTGTTTGTAAATTTCAATATTGAATTGTAATTTGCATATATCCATGATCTGTCTTCTGAATCAATATACAATATCGAACTACTACAGACAGGGTAATCATATTTTTGTTCATTCAACTGTTCAAAACATCATTAAACTTGTAATTTATATACTAAGATCCTTCTTTTAATGTCAAAATTGATGTTATATCTACCCAAAATATATTCACAATTAACTCTGTTCCTCTAGTAAAAACAAAAATGAGAAAAAAAAGGAATCTATATTTAATATCCCAGCTTGAGACAGCTACTCTGAATCTTTAGCCGCTGCCTCCAGATTTGCATCTCAATTAGAGGTTGTCTCATAGCTGAAAGTGGGAAAAGAAGAGGGTTAAAATTCATAAACAAACTTCCCGTGACGCAGATAAGAGTTTAAGTGTAATCAATAGATCATGTATCAACTGAATAGTTTGGGTCTATATCATTAGGACTGCCAATGAATTGAAGCCAGCATGAAACTCATAAGCTCGTCTTGCTAAATTTAAATCGAGCTTAGTATGAGTTTGAGCCTAAAGTGCCTCAGTTTTGAAAACAAAAAATTCTTAGTGATCGATTTTGAGAATAGCCTGTAAAAGTTTGTGATTCTCATAGAACCACTTCCGGAATAGGTCAATACCTCCACCAACTAAAATTAAAGTTTATTTTATAGATTTTTCTCTTATTTGTTTGCACACTTTACATTATTCTATTGTGAATTTTGAAGATTGTTTATGATGTATTATGAGCTTATTGTGCATTCAATAATTTTGACATTTTTTTTTTTTTACTACGAGGCTTACGCCTCAAATCACGTTGAGGCATACGCCTCACCTCAAGAAGAACGTCTTAGTGCCTGAGCATGCCTTTCTAAACATCGAGAATAAGTCTGCCAATATGTAACAATCAACACCTTCGCAGTCTCACCAAAGCAATAAATTATCTGTAAATCTATGTAAGGAAACCTTATGAGTATTCAAACCCCCAGCTTTTGCACAGGAATATCACCATCTTTTTTTTTTTTTTCCTGCTGAAAATCACTATATTTAGTGAGCCAAACAGACTGACTTTTCATCATCTAACAATTACCTGATAGATCCGTTTAATGGTTATCAACTGACATTTGGCATTTAAAGGCAGCTTCCAATCAAACTCTGGAAAAGTGCAAAATTGGAAGCTCTGATACCAACAAAAAGAAAATTTCTTAAGGGATATGCATATTCTATCCATATAGACACATGGCACCATTTGGACAATATTGGGCTCCACTGCTATCCTACTAATAAGGCAATCATATTAACATTCATAGCGAACATTGTTGTCACTATAACTACGAAAAGTAAGAGAAGCACAACTATCTTAAAATCATTTAACAATTAGATTAGGACCACTGAGTTCATTTAAGCCTGACAATTAAACTATATTCTCATCCAGTTATTAGAATTCAGCACAAGCGTCCCCCTATAAATTTGAAGCAGTCGAAGTTCCTACTTGTTCACATAGCCAGAAATCTCTTCACACACACTTCTACCCATTCTTCCATCTTTTGATTCTCAAACGTTTTTAAGAAAATGGCAAATGCTCGCCTCTCTAGATTTATAATTGAAGTAGCACCCCCACAGTTTGTAAACCTTATGAGGCATCGAGCATCAAAGATGTTGGACACAATTCATGAAGAGGAAAAGGATCCCCGCACAAAGGATTCTCTGTTCCTGTCTCCAAAGAATTTATCAACATCCTCACTCTGCATTGTTTCAGCTTCATCTTCTGAAACAAAAAAACTCAAGCATATTGTCCCCAAAGTTCAAAGGTCTTCATCTGTAATCCATGATTAGAGTCCTACATTTTGGGACTATAGACAATCCTCATGAAGTTTCAGATATAAGACTAGTCCATCAATTTTGGTTCTGTTTATCTAGTTTGGATGTCAAAATAAATTCAACCAAGGACCAAGACTTGCTGTGACAACAGTACAGATCTTCCCTGAAATCTTTTAGTATGAGGAAGATCATAATGTAAATCTACTAATTGGATATGCAAACTTATAGAGTTGGGATACGAGTTTTTCTTTTCTTCAATTGCATAACAACTCTTCCACATACACGTCCGAAAAGACGAGAGGCATCTTCGGGTAGTTAGCAGCAGGTAGGCGTATAGCTGGACTAATAACAAAGGTCCAGCCTCTTCTCTTTCTTAACAAGCTTAATATACTACAATAACAGTTTTGTGTCCTCATGATTTGACAATCTTTTGGTGTCTCCATTGCCAACCCTTTTGGTATAAGGTCAAAAATATGACTGTCGGTGCATCATAAGCCCACTGAATCGAAATTTTTAACTTCTCATTGGGAAATTTTTCTGCTGGAAAGTTATTTACACTAACAGTACACTAACTGCATGAATATATAACCATCTAATGAATCTAACAGTAAGACTAGAATTAAAGGAGATCAAAATCGTATCAAACCAAATTCTGAGTCACATTCGATAGATGATACTGCAAGACAAGTGAGCCGTGATCTGGAGTTAGCCTCTGCTAGTGGACTCATCTTCTCTCATTAGCCATCTGAACATCCCAATTGTGTACAAGACCATCAGACAGTGCCAATGCCACAATGTATGGATCCTCCACCCCAGCTCTTTGATAAGACAACAATGCCTTTGACACGGGTAGAATGCGCATCTCCAATGCTCTTTGCCACTTTCCCACTAGCTGTATCCCAAGCAGTCAAGTTCTGTCCTCACCCCTTTAAATAAAATCCTGTTCTGCCAAAAACGTTTTCAATCAGCATGACAAAAATAACATTGAAGAAAATCCACAGAAAAATACCGTGCTAGTGGCAGGACAGAGAACTCTCTTCCCATTTTCGAGTTAAAAAATTAATCTTGCGTCCTTAACCTCGGGGTCACTAATTGTCTCATCAGCTATCATGAAGAATTTTCCCCGTTTCATGGAATTGTACAATTGACGACTCTTTGCTTAACCTGCAGTACAAACTGCGCCTTCCTCTAACCAAATTGACCATGGCCAAGCACTCAATCGTGACCTACTGTCAACGCTATTCGGCCAGAGGGATGGACAAAAGAGTGACTTGACTCCTTTATTGCGAACTTCGTAGAATTCTGAGGTGGACAAAGGGTCGGCATCGTAGATGGAGAAACAACAGTCGGCATCAGTGGGTAGGAGACTGCGGGGAAAGGATGGGAACGAGGGAGAGGTGAAGAAGGAGAGTTGGGTGACGGCAGAGGACTGATGGAGGGAACCGATCTCGGCGAAGGAAGAGAGGACATAGACTTTGATGGTGTCGTTGTAGCCACCGGAGGCCACGGCGGAGCCGAAAACTTCGCGGCTGTCATGGTGGAAAGGTGTGAGGGGAAGGAGAAGAGGGGAGTTATGGCAAATGTCTGGAGGTCTTTTCGAGATTTTAGCCTGTAATCCCGTATGAATCGCACCGTATGATACCGCAACAAAGTCATCTTCGTCTCTTTCTACGTCCTGCTTCTGCTTCAGGCGTCCGTAAAACCCTAATTTGGGAGGAGGAGGAAGAAGAAGGGAGACAGGCTGTGGCGGCCGGCGACGATGAAGAAGGAATAGTTTGAGGACCAAAGTCGAAGTAATTGGTAGATGGAGGACTTAATTGTAGGTTCTAATAGATGGAGACTACAATTGCACAGACAAATACTTTGAGGACCAAAGTCGAAGTAATTGATAGAAAGAGGACTTAATTGGTGCTGACTGATAGTTGGAGAATGAATATGTCGACGTCTGATGATGACTATATTAAAATCCACGAAACCCAACAATTAAAATCCAACCCAAATCTAAATCCAACCCAAACTCACCAAACCCAAACCCAATATCAAAATCCAACCCAATTCATCAAACCCTAATCCAAATCCAATATCAAAATTCAACCCAAATCCAACAATAAAATCCAACCCGAATTCCATCAAACCCATATCCATCAATCAAATTGCCAAGCCCAAATTCCATCAGACACAAGTCCAACCCAATTCATCAAACCCAAACCCAAATCCAAATCCAATATTCAAATGTAACTATAACAATCCAACCCAAATTCCTTCAAACCCAAACCCAAACCCAAACCCAAATCCAACCCTATTACCCAAATTCCACCAAACCGAAATCCAAGAATGAAAATCTAACCCAAATTCCATCAAACCCAAGCCTAACAATCAAAATCGAACCCAAATTTCATCAAACCCAAATCCAACAACAAAATCCAACAATGAAAATCCAACCCTAATCCGACCCAAATTCAAACCAATTTCCATCAAACCCTAATCCGACAATCAAAGCCAGTCCAATTTCCATCAAACCCTAATCCGACAATCAAAGCCAATCCAATTTCCTCAAACCCAAATTCCACCGTATCCAAATCCAACAATCAAAATCCTACCCATCAAACCCAAATTCGGTCCTCCAACTATTCTCAAACGGCAATTTGTCCTATTGGTCTTTTAACTATTCTTTGTGTATACTTTAGTCCACCAACTAATGCACGTTCCTAATTCAAGTCCTCTATCTATTCATAGGCGACAATTTGGTACCACAACTATTTCAAGGCTAAAACTTGGTCCTCCAACTAATTAAATGAGACGAATGTATCCTCAGTTTATTCTAAAATTTTCAATTCAATGTTTCATCTATTTTTATATGGCAATTTTACCCCTCAAACTGTTCATAGTCGACAATTTGCATCTGTTACTATTCAGAGGCATCAAGTTGGTCCTCTAACTATTTACAGACTCAAATGAGGTTCCGATCCAAATTAATACTTCGAGATTTTCAATTTGAATACTTTTCTCTGGACATCTAACTGGATCTTCACCAAAGCCGAAACTACTTTAGCCATGCTCAATCAGTTTCCAGTTTGATCTATGATAAAACCAAGAGAATACTTTACTTGGAGGCAAGGATCGATTAGGTCCTTATTTACAGCATTTGCATTTGTTCCATCCATGGCTGACAGTATTGTTTTTGAAATAAAAACTCTCCTCCATCTCCATGAAGACAGCCTCTTTACACCATCAGTTCTAACAGAACAACCCTGTCGTATAAGTAGTGGCAGATCCAGAATTTTGAGTGAACACGATCGGTCATTAACTGTTGACCATCGATCGTAATAAAATATTAAAAATTAAATATAATAATTATTTTGTTAAAACTGAACATGTACATGTTAACAATATTTTATCAAATGACATAGTGACTAGATTTTGTATAATTCGAATGAAGAGGATGGGATGGAATCCTTACAGCTGCATTAAAACCACTAAAACAAAATATATATTATTTTGTTACATTTAATGTTGTAATTCAACAAGTGCCATGGTGGTTAAGCTTTCAATAACCTTAATTAAATGTCATACGTTCGAATCCCCTACCCATTATGCAATTTTGGTAAAAATTATAGAAGTAGAAAAATTGTGCAATAAAATTGGTAAGGAAGTGATTCTACCAAATTATAGAACTATAAAAATTGTAAAATAAAATTGGTTAGGAAGTGATTAGATGGTGGTTAAGCTTTCAGTAACCTTAACTAAAGGTCACAGGTTCGAATCCCCTATCCGTCGCATAATTTTGGTAAAACTTATGGAACTAGAAAAATTGTGCAATAATTGGGTAGGAAGTGATTCAATCCCTAGACCTCCACTTACAAACTTTAACCTACTGAGCCACAAGAGATCTATGAAAATAAAAAGAATATCAATATATAACCTAAAATTGTTTTTTTTGTTAATCAAATAAAAAATTTGTTCCTTGTGGATCTAGCACGCGCGGCCCTCGGTGCTAGTTGGGTATTGGATCCGCCACTCCTAGTCTACATGTAAGCTTTTGCTCCAAGAACATAATTTGTAATCGAATTTTCATTTCTCTTCCTTTTGGCTAATCTTGCCAAATTGAAAAATAGGCAATCTTGACCCTGAGATCACCGTTGAGTAATATGTTACAACTGTTAATGTCCTTGTGCACATATGTTGGACGTAGGCCATTAAAATCTAAAGTGATAAGAATCAAGTAATTCCAGCTCTGAACATGTGAACAATTCTCATACACAAGACAAAAATCTTCATCGTGCTCATTGCAAGTGTTATGCCCTAGGTTAAATCGATATCCTAGGTTTAATCGACTTTGGATATAAACACTTTTAATATATAGTTGATGTGATTTATAATTGATCTATTATTTAATTAATATTCAATTGAATTAAATAATATAGTCTGTAGATTGAAATCTTAGTAATTTGTTAATCATAAGGAGTTGTGGTTGTGAGATACAAATTACATATGATTGAATCTTAAATCATCCGTGGTCATAAGTAATGACGAAATACGGATATCGTTATTACAGATAAACCACCACGTGTAGCGTCTCTTACTTGTGAAATAAGTAACTAATCTCATAAATTAAAGTGTTGTGACATTTTAATGAACACGTGAATGTTTTGTTGTAGAACAAAATATTGGAAACCCATTATGAATAACTATCTGAGTGTCAGTGGTTAATCCCTAACATTTGGTAGTGGTATTGGTCCAAAGACTTGAGGTCATCATGGTGCTTTATCTAAAGACAATCATACTTTGACGGTTTTGGATGTTGTTCTACCAAGAGCCTTTAATACAATATCGTTTGGGTATGTCAAAAATCGTATGAAAATTGTGAATGACCAATAGATGATTCTTCACTTAGATAGTAAGAGATTATGATCCACATTTTATCAATTAAGTCGAAACGAAATCCTTGGTCAGGATGTACTCAGAAGTAAAAAAGAAGTGTTCTACTTATATTAATTTAATAGTGCAATAAAAGATATGATCGATAATTAGCATTAACACACTTTCATATCTTGTAATTGATCGGATCATATTGACGAAGGGATTATAGTTTCACAGCAAACAAACGAGTTTGATTTTGTCATACCACGTGACATTTTCCATCACATGTATTGCCCTAACACATTGGTAGATGTCAATTTGAGACAGTGAACGTGAGTAAGTGATAAATTAAAATGGTGTTTTAATTTATCAATTTTAATTAGATCAAAATAATAATTTACATCACTAGGCATCGTGATTAGGAACCTGATGGGTCACACACAAAAGAAGAACTGGAAGATTGTGTTTTACCAATTAATTAATTTAACAAGCGTTGGATAAATTAATTAATTGGGGTACTTATTTATTGGTTCGAATTAATTAATTGGATTAATTAGTTCGTGGATTGAATTTAATTAAATGAGTTAATTAAATCTTTGACCGGGTTAGGAGATGGGCCAAGCCCGTTTGGCTTTGTATAAATAGGTAGCTAGGGTTTTGGATCTATAGAAAAAATTCATTATTCTTGCTAGCAAAAGAAAACTCTAGTTGTACAATCTGTTTCTCTGTGTAGATTATCATTGGAGGCTGGATAATTGGACATGTGTGGGTGGCATCTTGATATTTCTGGAACAAAGAAAAAGCAAAAAATTTACAGATCTCTTCAAATGTACATTTTCTATCACAATTTCTATTTAAACGCAAAGAGATCCTTGACGAGAATTGAAATTTATTTTATTCTCCATTGCGAATGATTAAGTAGATTCCCAACACTTATAGACACCATATAGACATATCAAATTAAAGTGATTGACCTTAGAATTTCAATCTCCTTTGTCATGTCTGCATCTCGTCTTTTTTAGGACTACTAATTTCTATGAAGAACCCCATGATGAATAGAATTACTCAGCTTCTTCTTTGCACAAAAGTTTCCAGTAGCTGCCTCCAATTCTCCAAATGAATATATTTTCAGCATTTCCTCAATTCCAGCAACTTTATCTAGGATATGCTCCTGTAATTTCCACAGCTTTCTCCCCTGCCTATCATTCGAAGAGGCTTCATTTGATCTGGTTTTCCTGTGATAGAAGATACAAAGACACAGCACAAGGCAGAAAATCACTATAAGAAGCATCAATTCCTATCCCAACATGAAGTCATTTAAAGGATCTTTTATGCTTTTTATGTGGAGCACTTGAACTTGGATTAGAAAAAAACGTTGCCTGATAGTATTGACCCGAACAGGAAAAGATATAGGAACTACAACATCTTGGTGGCAAAATGTCTGAATTTGAGATATTATTCAATAGATTGGTGGCAAAATTGGAGGAGAAATGGAGCTCTTTATTCAATAGATTTTATTAGATGATTGTGCAAAGGATAGGAAGAGACTGAGCAAAGGATTCTAGGCTGGATTCTCATGGTTGGCTAAAAATATCAAATTTCCATGAAGAAAATACAGATTGGTAGGTGTTGAAGGCGAGGAAAATCTTTTCCAGAAATCAGTTATCAGAGGCAGAGAAAATAAATGCCGCCATAGCATATTTTGATGGTGAAACATGGAATTGGTATCAGTAGGCAGATCAACTATGAAGATGGGAAGAATTGAAGTGTTTGATGTGGAATTAATTTCACCAGAAGATATCTCAATTATTGATGAAATTCCAGTATGTGAGCCTTGGGGTGGTGAACTAGAAGACAGGGAACTGGAGGACAGAGAAAGAATAGTCACCATCACAGAGGAGGAGGAGAAGGAGAAGGAGAAGTATTGCAAGCCACATGATTATCAATATCAGCTGGATCTAGTGGAATTTCAGCAGCCGTGGCAGCTACCTATCAATTGATATCATGGAGGCAAGGGCACACCGTGATAGAAAAAAATTCCTCAACGAGTCAGGTATGATGCTTCATCACGAGATGTGGAAGGAGGTTAGGAGGGCATTGATAATGGGCTCATTCTAGGGAAGATAATAGAAGAGCAATTAGTGAAATTAGTGGATATGGATTGTGTTAGGAAGGTGGCCCAACAAGTTAATCAAGCCCTAGGCGAAATGAGCCTAAATAAAGAAAAGAGAGATGGCCAAACACAATCATTTCACAAATTCTCAATCGTTATTGAGAAATTTTTTGGTGCTAAGCATCATCTGAAGAAGAAAAAAGGGTTAAACCCTTGGGTGATTAAAAAAATACTCAATTAGACAACATTACAATAAGGTACGGTAGGTCAATGAACTTTTGTAGATGGGGATGACATGCTATGAGCTTTCAATAGACACTATATTAATATTAGTGGATACATAAAGAAGATGCTCAGCGACAAGATAACAAATGAGCTAGACTTTTTGATACCTAAATTTGCAGAGGTATCTGGACGAGGGAGGGAAAACTCCAAATGGAGTCATTACGTAGAAGCTCACCTAAAATATTGCAGAGGTATTTATGATGTATTATGAGCTTATTGTGCATTCAATAATTTTGATATTTTCTTTACCATGAGGCTTACGCCTCAAATCACCTTGAGGCATATGCCTCACCTCAAGAAGAACGACTTAGTGCTTGAGCATGCCTTTCTAAACATCGAGAATAAGCTCTGCCAATATGTAACAATCAACACCTGTGTAATCTCACTGAAACAGTTAATTATCTATTTTTAAATTGTGAATTCAGCTGTTATGGGTAATCTATGCAAGGAAACCTTATGAGTATTCAAACCCCCAGCTTTTGCACAGGAATATCAATATCTTTTTATGAATTTTTTTTCCTGCTGAAAATCAATATATTTAGTGAGCCAAACAGACTTACTTTTCACCATCTAACAATTACATGATATATCCGTTTAATAGGTTATCAACTGACAGTTGACATTTAAAGGCAGCTTCCAATCAAACTCTGGGAAAGTGCAAAATTGGAAGCTCTGATACCAACAAAAATAAAATTTCTTAAAGGATATGATATTCTATCCATATAGACACATGGCACCATATGGACAATATTGGGCTCCACTGCTATCCTACTAATAAAGCAATCATATCAACATTCATAGCGAACATTGTTGTCACTATAAATACGAAAAGTAAGAGCAGCACAACCATCTTAAAATCATTTAACAATTTGATTAGGACCACTGAGTTCATTTAAGCCTAACGATTAAACTATATTCTTATCCAGTTATTAGAATTCAGCACAAGCGTACCCCTATAAATTTGAAGCAGTCGAAGTTCCTACTTGCTCACATAGCCAGAAATCTCTTCACACACACTTCTACCCATTCTTCCATCTTTTGATTCTCAAACGTTTTTAAGAAAATGGCAAATGCTCGCCTCTCTAGATTTATAATTGAAGTAGCACCCCCACAGTTTGTAAACCTTATGAGGCATCGAGCATCAAAGATGTTGGACACAATTCATGAAGAGGAAAAGGATCCCCGCACAAATGATTCTCTGTCCCTGTCTCCAAAGAATTTATCAACATCGTCACTCTGCATTGTTTCAGCTTCATCTTCTGAAACAAAAAACTCAAGCATATTGTCCCCAAAGTTCAAAGGTCTTTGTCTGTAATCCACGATTAGAGTCCTACCTTTTGGGACTATACACAATCCTCTGGAAGTTTCAGATATAAGACTAGTCCATCAATTTTGGTTCTGTTTATCTAGTTTGGATGTCAAAATAAATTCAACCAAGAACCAAGACTTGCTGTGACAACAGTACAGATTTTCCCTGAAATCTTTTAGTATGAGGAAGATCATATTGTAAATCTACTAATTGGATATGCAAACTTATAGAGTTGGGATACGAATTTTTCTTTTCTTCTATTGCATAACAACTCTTCCACACACACGTCCGAAAAGAAGAGAGGCATCTTTGGGTAGTTAGCAGCAGGTAGGCGTCTAGCTGGATTGATAACAAAGGTCCAGCCTCTTCTCTTTCTTAACAAGCTTAATATAGTACAATAAGAGTTTTGTGTCCTCATGATTTGACAATCTTTTGGTGTCTCCATTGCCAACCCTTTTGGTATAAGGTAAAACATATGACTGTCGGTGCATCATAAGCCCACTGAATCGAAATTTTTAACTTCTCATTGGGAAATTTTTCTGCTGGAAAGTTATTTACACTAACAGTACAAACCTACCGATGGGAGCCTAACTGCATGAATATATACCCATATAATGAATCTAACAGTAAGACTAGAATTAAAGGAGATCAAAATCATATCAAACAAAATTCCGAGTCACATTTGATAGATGATCCTGCAAGACAAGTGAGCCGGGATCTGGAGTTAGCCTCTGCTAGTGGACTCATCTTCTCCTCATTAGCCATCTGAACATCCCAATTGTGTACAAGACCATCAGACAGTGCCGATGCCACAATGTATGGATCCTCCACCCCAGCTCTTTGATAAGACAACAATGCCTTTGACACGGGTAGAATGCGCATCTCCAATGCTCTATGCCACTTTCCCACTAGCTGTATCCCAAGCAGTCAAGTTCTGTCCTCACCCCTTTAAATAAAATCCTGTTCTGCCAAAAACGTTTTCAATCAGCATGACAAAAATAACATTGAAGAAAATCCACAGAAAAATCCTGGAAATCATCCTGTGCTAGTGGCAGGACAGAGAACTCTCTTCCCATTTTCGAGTTAAAAAATTAATCTTGCGTCCTTAGCCTCGTGGACACTAATTGTCTCATCAGCTATCATGAAGAATTTTCCCCCTGTTTCATGGAATTGTACAATTGATGACTCTTTGCTTAACCTGCAGCACAAACTGCGCCTGCCTCTAAACAAATTGACCATGGCCAAGCACTCAATCGCGACCTACTGTGAACGCTATTCGGCCAGAGGGGTGGACGAAAGAGTGAATTGACTCCTTTATTGCGGACTTCGTAGAATTTTGAGGTGGACAAAGGGGTCGGCATCGTAGATGGAGAAACAACAGTCGGCATCAGTGGGTAGGAGACTGCGGGGAAAGGATGGGAACGAGGGAGAAGTGAAGAAGGAGAGTGGGGTGATGACAGAGAACTGATGGAGAGAACCGATCTCGACGAAGGAAGAGAGGTCATAGGCTTTAATGGCGTCGTTGTAGCCACCGGAGGCCACGGCGGAGCCGAAAACTTCGAGGCTTTCATGGTGGAAAGGTGTGAGGGGAAGGAGAAGAGGGGAGTTAGGGCAAATGTCTGGAGGTCTTTTCGAGATTTTAGCCTGTAATCCCGTATGAATCGCACCGTATGATACCGCCAACAAAGTCATCTTCATCTCTTTCTACGTCCTGCTTCTGTTTCAGACGTCCGTAAAACCCTAATTTGGGAGGAGGAGGAGGAAGAAGAAGGGAGACAGGCTGTGGCGGCCGGCGACGATGAAGAAGGAATAGTTTGAGGACCAAAGTCGAAGTAATTGGTAGATGGAGAACTTAATTGTAGATTCTAACAGATGGAGACTACAATTGCACAGACAAATACTTTGAGGACCAAAGTCGAAGTAATTGATAGAAGGAGGACTTAATTGGTGCTGACTGATAGTTGGAGAATGAATATGTCGACGTTGGATGATGGCTATATTTAATCCACGAAACCTAACAATTAAAATCCAACCCAAATTTCATGAAACCCAAATCTTAATCCAATATCAAAATCCAACCCAATTCATCAAACCCAAATCAAAATCCAACCCGAACTTACCAAACCCAAACCCAATATCAAAATCCAACCCAATTCATCAAACCCTAATCCAAATCCAATATCAAAATTCAACCCAAATCCAACAATAAAATCCAACCCGAATTCCATCAAACCCATATCCATCAATCAAAATCCAACCGAACTTGCGCCAAGCCCAAATTCCATCAGACACAAGTCCAACCTAATTCATCAAACCCAAACCCAAATCCAAATCCAATATTCAAATGGAACTATAACAATCCAACCCAAATTCCTTCAAACCCAAACCCAAATCCAACCCTATTACCCAAATTCCACCAAACCGAAATCCAAGAATGAAAATCTAACCCAAATTCCATCAAACCCAAACCTAACAATCAAAATCCAACCCAAATTTCATCAAACCCAAATTCAACAACAAAATCCAACCTAAATCCAACAATGAAAATCCAACCCTAATCCGACCCAAATTCAAACCAATTTCCACCAAACCCTAATCTGACAATCAGAGCCAATCCAATTTCCATCAAACCCAAATCCAACCCAAATTCCACCATATCCAAATCCAACAATCAAAATCCTACCAATTTGTCCTATTGGTCTTTTAACTATTCTTTGTGTATAATTTAGTCCACCAACTAATGCACGTTCCCAATTCAAGTCCTATATCTATTCATAGGCGACAATTTGGTACCACAACTATTTCAAGGCTAAAACACGGTCCTCCAACTAATTAAATGAGACGAATGTATCCTCAGTTTATTCTAAAATTTTCAATTCAATGTTTCATCTATTTTTATATGGCAATTTTACCCCTCAAACTGTTCATAGTCGACAATTTGCATCTTTTACTATTCAGAGGCATCAAGTTGGTCCTCTAACTATTTACAGACTCAAATGAGGCTCCGATCCAAATTAATACTTCGAGATTTTCAATCTGAATACTTTTCTCTGGACATCTAACTGGATCTTCACCAAAGCCGAAACTACTTTAGCCATGCTCAAATCAGTTTTCAGTTTGATCTATGATAAAACCAAGAGAATACTTTACTTGGAGGCAAGGATCGATTAGGTCCTTATTTACAGCATTTGCTTTGTTCCATCCATGGCTAACAGTATTGTTTTTGAAATAAAAACTCTCCTCCATCTCCATGAAGACAACCTCTTTACACCATCAGTTCTAACAGAACAACCCTGTCGTATAAGTAGTGGCAGATCCAGAATTTTGAGTGAACACGATCGGTCATTAACTGTTGACCATCGACCGTAATAAAATATTAAAAATTAAATATAATAATTATTTTGTTAAAACTGAACATGTACATGTTAACAATATTTTATCAAATGACATAGTGACTAGATTTTGTATAATTCGAAGGAAGAGGATGGGATGGAATCCTTACAGCTGCATTAAAACCACTAATCCATCCTTACAGCTGCATTAAAACCACTAAAACAAAATATATATTATTTTGTTACATTTAATGTTGTAATTCAACAAGTGCCATGGTGGTTAAGCTTTCAATAACCTTAATTAAATGTCATACGTTCGAATCCCCTACCCATTATGCAATTTTGGTAAAAATTATAGAAGTAGAAAAATTGTGCAATAAAATTGGTAAGGAAGTGATTCTACCAAATTATAGAACTATAAAAATTGTAAAATAAAATTGGTTAGGAAGTGATTAGATGGTGGTTAAGCTTTCAGTAACCTTAACTTAAGGTCACAGGTTCGAATCCCCTACCCATCGCATAATTTTGGTAAAACTTATGGAACTAGAAAAATTGTGCAATAATTGGTTAGGAAGTGATTCAATCCCTAGACCTCCACTTACAAACTTTAACCTACTGAGCCACAAGAGATCTATGAAAATAAAAGGAATATCAATATATAACCTAAAATTGTTTTTTTTTTGTTAATCAAATAAAAAATTTGTTCCTTGTGGATCTAGCATGCGCGGCCCTCGGTGCTAGTTGGGTATTGGATCCGCCACTCCTAGTCTACATGTAAGCTTTTGCTCCAAGAACATAACTTGTAATCGAATTTTCATTTCTCTTCCTTTGGGCTAATCTTGCCAAATTGAAAAATTGGCAATCTTGACCCTGAGATCACCGTTGAGTAATATGTTACAACTGTTAATGTCCTTGTGCACATATGTTGGATGTAGGCCATTAACATCTAAAGTGATAATAATCAAGTAATTCCAGCTCTGAACATGTGAACAATTCTCATACACAAGACAAAAATCTTCATCGTGCTCACTGCAAGTGTTATGCCCTAGGTCTAATCGACTTTGGATATAAACACTTTTAATATATAGTTGATGTGATTTATGATTGATCTATTATTTAATTAATATTCAATTGAATTAAATAATATAGTCTGTAGATTCAAATCTTAGTAATTTGTTAATCATAAGGAGTTGTGATTGTGAGATACAAATTACATATGATTGAATCTTAAATCATTCGTAGTCATAAGTAATGACGAGATATGAATATCGTTATTACAGATAAACCACCACGTGTGGCGTCTCTTACTTGTGAAATAAGTAACTAATCTCATAAATTAAAGTGTTGTGACATTTTAATGAACACGTGGATATTTTATTATAGAACAAAATATTGGAGACCCATTATGAATAACTATCTGAGTGTCAGTGGTTAATCCCTAACGTTTGGTAGTGGTATTGGTCCAAAGACTTGAGGTCATCATGGTGCTTTATCTAAGGACAGTCATACTTTAACGGTTTTGGATGTTGCTCTGCCAAGAGCCGTTAATACAACATTGTTCGAGTATGTCAAAAATCGTATGAAAATTGTGAATGACCAATAGATGATTCTTCACTTAGATAGTAAGAAATTATGATCCACATTTCATCAATTAAGTCGAAACGAAATCCTTGGTCAGGGTGTACTCAGAAGTCAAAAAGGAGTGTTCTACTTATATTAACTTAATAGTGCAATAAAAGATATGATCGATAATTAGGATTGACACACTTTCATATCTTGTAATTGATCGGATCATATTGACGAAGGGATTATAGTTTCACAGCAAACAAACGAGTTTGATTTTGTCATACCACGTGATATTTTCCATCACATGTATTGCCCTAACACATTGGTAGATGTCAATTTGAGACAGTGAACATGAGTAAGTGATAAATTAAAATGATGTTTTAATTTATCAATTTTAATTAGATCAAAATAATAATTTACATCGCTAGGCATCGTGATTAGGAACCTGATGGGTCACACACAAAAGAAGAATTGGAAGATTGTGTTTTACCAATTAATTAATTTAACAAGCTTTGGATAAATTAATTAATTGGGGTACTTATTTATTGGTTCGAATTAATTAATTGGATTAATTAGTTCGTGGATTGAATTTAATTAAATGAGTTAATTAAATCTTTGATCGGGTTAGGAGATGGGCCAAGCCCGTTTGGCTTTGTATAAATAGGTAGCTAGGGTTTTGGATCCGTAGAAAAAATTTATTATTCTTGCTAACACAAGAAAACTCTAGTTGTACAATCTGTTTCTCTGTGTAAATTATAATTGGAGGCTGGATAAATTGGACATGTATGGGTGGCATCTTGATATTTCTGGAACAAAGAAAAAGCAAAAAATTTACAGATCTCTTCAAATGTACATTTTCTATCACAATTTATATTTAAACACAAAGAGATCCTTGACGGGAATTGAAATCTATTTTATTCTCCGTTGCGAATGATTAAGTAGATTCCCAACATATAGACATATCAAATTAAAGTGATTGACCTTAGAATTTCAATCTCCTTTGTCATGTCTGCATCTCGTCTTTTTTAGGACTACTAATTTCTATGAAGAACCCCATGATGAATAGAATTACTCAGCTTCTTCTTTGCACAAAAGTTTCCAGTAGCTGCCTCCAATTCTCCAAATGAATATATTTTCAGCATTTCCTCAATTCCAGCAACTTTATCTAGGATATGCTCCTGTAATTTCCACAGCTTTCTCCCCTGCCTATCATTCGAAGAGGCTTCATTTGATCTGGTTTTCCTGTGATAGAGGATACAAACACAGAGCACAAGGCAGAAAATCACCATAAGAAGCATCAATTCCTATCCCAACATGATGTCATTTAAAGGATCTTTTATGCTTTTTATGTGGAGTACTTGAACTTGGATTAGAAAAAAAATTGCTTGATAGTATTGACACGAACAGGAAAAGATATAGGAACTACAACATCTTGGTGGCAAAATGTCTGAATTTGAGATATTATTCAATAGATTGGAGGAGAAATGGAGATATTATTCAATAGATTGGTGGCAAAATCGGAGGAGAAATGGAGCTCTTTATTCAATAGATTTTATTAGATGATTATGCAACGCATAGGAAGAGACTGAGCAAAGGATTCTAGGCTGGATTCTCATGGTCGGCTAAAAATATCAAATTTCCATGAAGAAAATACAGATTGGTAGGTGTTGAAGGCGAGGAAAATCTTTTCCAGAAATCAGTTATCAGAGGCAGAGAAAATAAATGCCGCCATAGCATATTTTGATGGTGAAACATGGAATTGGTATCAGTAGGCAGATCAACTATGAAGATGGGAAGAATTGAAGTGTTTGATGTGGAATTAATTTCACCAGAAGATATCTCAATTATTGATGAAATTCCAGTATGTGAGCCTTGGGGTGGTGAACTAGAAGACAGGGAACTGGAGGACAGAGAAAGAATAGTCACCATCGCAGAGGAGGAGGAGAAGGAGAAGGAGAAGTATTGCAAGCCACATGATTATCAATATCAGCTGGATCTAGTGGAATTTCAGCAGCCGTGGCAGCTACCTATCAATTGATATCATGGAGGCAAGGGCACACCGTGATAGAAAAAAATTCCTCAACGAGTCAGGTATGATGCTTCATCACGAGATGTGGAAGGAGGTTAGGAGGGCATTGATAATGGGCTCATTCTAGGGAAGATAATAGAAGAGCAATTAGTGAAATTAGTGGATATGGATTGTGTTAGGAAGGTGGCCCAAAAAGTTAATCAAGCACTAGGCGAAATGAGCCTAAATAAAGAAAAGAGAGATGGCCAAACACAATCATTTCACAAATTCTCAATCGTTATTGAGCAATTTTTTGGTGCTAAGCATCATCTGAAGAAGAAAAAAGGGTTAAACCCTTGGGTGATTAAAAAAATACTCAATTAGACAACATTACAATAAGTTACGGTAGGTCAATGAACTTTTGTAGATGGGGATGACATGCTATGAGCTTTCAATAGACACTATATTAATATTAGTCGATACATAAAGAAGATGCTCAGTGACAAGTCAACAAATGAGCTAGACTTTTTGATACCTAAATTTGCAGAGGTATCTGGACGAGGGAGGGAAAACTCCAAATGGAGTCATTACAGAGGTATTTATGATGTATTATGAGCTTATTGTGCATTCAATAATTTTGATATTTTCTTTACCATGAGGCTTACGCCTCAAATCACCTTGAGGCATATGCCTCACCTCAAGAAGAACGACTTAGTGCTTGAGCATGCCTTTCTAAACATCGAGAATAAGCTCTGCCAATATGTAACAATCAACACCTGTGTAATCTCACTGAAACATTTAATTATCTATTTTTAAATTGTGAATTCAGCTGTTATGGGTAATCTATGCAAGGAAACCTTATGAGTATTCAAACCCCCAGCTTTTGCACAGGAATATCACTATCTTTTTATAAATTTTTTTTTCCTGCTGAAAATCAATATATTTAGTGAGCCAAACAGACTTACTTTTTACCATCTAACAATTACCTGATAGATCCGTTTAATGGTTATCAACTGACAGTTGGCATTTAAAGGCAGCTTCCAATCAAACTCTGGAAAGTGCATAATTGGAAGATCTGATACCAACAAAAAGAAAATTTCTCAAGGGATATGCATATTCTATCCATAGAGACACATGGTACCATATGGACAATATTGGGCTCCACTGCTATCCTACTAATAAGGCAACATATTAACATTCATAGTGAACATTGTTGTCACTATAAATACGAAAAGTAAGAGCAGCACAACTATCTTAAAATCATTTAACAATTAGATTAGGACCACTGAGTTCATTTAAGCCTGACAATTAAACTATATTCTCATCCAGTTATTAGAATTCAGCACAAGCGTCCCCCTATAAATTTGAAGCAGTCGAAGTTCCTACTTGTTCACATAGCCAGAAATCTCTTCACACACACTTCTACCCATTCTTCCATCTTTTGATTCTCAAAGGTTTTTAAGAGAATGGCAAATGCTCGCCTCTCTAGATTTATAATCGAAGTAGCACCCCCACAGTTTGTAAACCTTATGAGGCATCGAGCATCAAAGATATTGGACACAATTCATGAAGAGGAAAAGGATCCCCGCACAAATGATTCTCTGTCCCTGTCTCCAAAGAATTTATCAACATCCTCACTCTGCATCGTTTCAGCTTCATCTTCTGAAACAAAAAACTCAAGCATATTGTCCCCAAAGTTCAAAGGTCTTCGTCTGTAATCCATGATTAGAGTCCTACATTTTGGGACTATACACAATCCTCTGGAAGTTTCAGATATAAGAATAGTCCATCAATTTTGGTTCTGTTTAGCTAGTTTGGATGTCAAAATAAATTCAACCAAGGACCAAGACTTGCTGTGACAACAGTACAGATCTTCCCTGAAATCTTTTAGTATGAGGAAGATCATATTGTAAATCTACTAATTGGATATGCAAACTTATAGAGTTGGGATACGAGTTTTTCTTTTCTTCTATTGCATAACAACTCTTCCACATACACGTCCGAAAAGAAGAGAGGCATCTTCCGGTAGTTAGCAGCAGGTAGGCGTATAGCTGGACTGATAACAAAGGTCCAGCCTCTTCTCTTTCTTAACAAGCTTAATATACTACAATAAGAGTTTTGTGTCCTCATGATTTGACAATCTTTTGGTGTCTCCATTGCCAACCCTTTTGGTATAAGGTTAAAAATATGACTGTCGGTGCATCATAAGCCCACTGAATCGAAATTTTTAACTTCTCATTGGGAAATTTTTCTGCTGGAAAGTTTTTTACACTAACAGTACAAACCTACCGATGGGAGCCTAACTACATGAATATATACCCATCTAATGAATCTAACAGTAAGACTAGAATTAAAGGAGATCAAAATCATACCAAACAAAATTCCGAGTCACATTTGATAGATGATCCTGCAAGACAAGTGAGCCGGGATCTGGAGTTAGCCTCTGCTAGTGGACTCATCTTCTCCTCGTTAGCCATCTGAACATCCCAATTGTGTACAAGACCATCAGACAGTGCCGATGCCACAATGTACGGATCCTCCACCCCAGCTCTTTGATAAGACAACAATGCCTTTGACACGGGTAGAATGCGCATCTCCAATGCTCTATGCCATTTTCCCACTAGCTGTATCCCAAGCAGTCAAGTTCTGTCCTCACCCCTGTAAATAAAATCCTGTTCTGCCAAAAACGTTTTCAATCAGCATGACAAAAATAACATTGAAGAAAATCCACAGCAAAATCCTGGAAATCATACCCTGCTAGTGGCAGGACAGAGAACTCTCTTCCCATTTTCGAGTTAAAAAATTAATCTTGCGTCCTTAACCTCGTGGACACTAATTGTCTCATCAGCTATCATGAAGAATTTCCCCCCTGTTTCATGGAATTGTACAATTGATGACTCTTTGCTTAACCAGCAGTACAAACTGCGCCTTCCTCTAACCAAATTGACCATGGCTAAGCACTCAAACGTGACCTACTGTCAACGCTATTCGGCCAGAGGGGTGGACAAAAGAGTGAAATGACTCCTTTATTGCGAACTTCGTAGAATTCTGAGGTGGACAAAGGGTCGGCATCGTAGATGGAGAAATAACAGTCGGCATCAGTGGGTAGGAGACTGCGGGGAAAGGATGGGAACGAGAGAGAGGTGAAGAAGGAGAGTTGGGTGATGGCAGAGGACTGATGGAGGAACCGATCTCGGCGAAGAAAGAGAGGTCATGGACTTTGATGGTGTTGACACATAATGGTCGAAGGAATGAAGTCCAATAGAAGGATCCTCAAATCAGATAGTCCAAAGGATGAAGCTCAATCAGACAATTCAGGATGAAAGCCCAAATAAGAAAGCTCAGGAACGCGGTAACACCATCGCCCAAGCTTGTAAATCACCCATGACTTGAGCGAATGGAGTGCCATATAGTCTCCCAGAACTGCTACTCTATTCTCGTCCAAACCTTCAAGTCGTCCAAGGTCTTAGCAAACATGAAGTGTTGTGGTTATCAAAAAGTGCAGTTATCAAAGCAGTTATTAAGCAGACCTATCACGTTCCACGATTCAAGGAATTCAATTGAAAACGGTTGAACGACAAAGAGTAATGGTAGCAGTTAAAAAGGGAGTTCCATGACAAGTTGGCCATTACGAGGAAAGTGGGCAGTTATAGAATAATCAAGCAATTTTTAGGCGGTTGATCACAAAGAGATCATCCAAGGAGTATAAAAAGAAGAAAAGACATAGAGCAGAAGGACCGAATCAAAAAACTTTCGAACAGAGAACATGTAATTTTAAATTTCTTAACTTAGATTTAAACACTTCTTTCAGTAACTCATGTGCTTGCGCCCCTTGAAGGCATTCTGTTTTTAATTTCCAATTGTAAAGTCATCCCCAAAAAAGAACATCCCCTTTTTTGGACTTTGTCTCAAGAGGTTTGTCCCTTATACAATCGTCTGATCCCTTTTTAATTGTTAGCGACGAACCCATGCGAAACAATTTGGCACGCCCAGTGAGACAGTGGTGTTTGGTGTTGAAAATACAAAAGGTGAAATAATATCCCTCAGAGATCCGATAAGGAAGCAGTAAGTCAGGAAGGAATCCAGTTTATAATCGAGCGATATGAGGAGCAGCATGCCTCTCCACGAACAGATGGACAGAATCAGAGCAGCAACAGTCGTTACGAACTAATGATAGAGTTGAGTCCTCGAACCATGCGTACACTACTTGGAGAACTCACACAAGATGTCGTTGAACAGGTAAATTTTCGAAGTATTCATAATATGGAAAGATTTACTCAAAATGAGAATGCACATTATGACAACATGGCCAAACAACTAAACACTTTGAACGAAACAATGAATAAGTTAGTAGGCCAAATATGTCAACCGGTTATGCCTCTTGCAAACCACTTTCAAACTAGGACAATTGTGGGACATAATCCCTCAGTCCTAAATCCGAATCAAGGGGTAGAACCACTTTCTGGTCCCTCTACTTCAAACCAAGGGGGGTGGTGCGGTGCCAAATCAGAATAATGGTAGTGGTACGCCTAACTTGGGGGGTAATCCAAATGTAAGAGATAATGTTCTAAATAATGGACAGAATACCCCACGTGTTAATGAGGGAATAGATGTTCAAGCTAATGGTAATAGCCCTAATCATGGTAACTTTGTTGCCAATCAAGGACCAAATATCAGGCCTCATGCAAATCAACCGGTTAACCAACCTGTAGGAATTCCATATGACCCCAACGTCATGTTGAGAAATCAGATTATGAAAATCGTACAGGATCAGATGGCTTTTGGGATGCGTCCTGTCATTAGGCCGACTTACACAAAGCCATATCCTGATTGGGTAGACCAAGCATATCCATGGCCTAGAGGGTATAAAGTGCCAGAATTCTCACTGTTTACCGGTTTAGGAGAGGTGTCTACTCTAGAACACATAGGGCGATTCACATTGCAAAGTGGTGATATAACTGATTACCATAAAATGAGGCTTTTCCCTAGTTCATTAACAAGAGTAGCTTTCTCCTGGTTCATTAACTTGCCAGCGAACTCTGTTCAAACATGGCAACAATTGTAACAGCTATTCCACGTTCAGTTTTATAAAACTGAGTCTGAAGTCACTTTGGCTGATTTGGCGAATTTACGTCAAATGCCAAATGAATGGGCAGAAAGTTTTCTACAAAGGTTCAAGACAGCAAGAAGCAAGTGTTTTGTACCTCTGCCCGAAAAAGAATTCGTCAAAATCGCTCAGGGCTGTTTGAGCTTTGATTTAAAAAAGAAATTCCAAGACAAGGAATTTCCTGACCTTTTCCAGTTGAGTGCAAATGTGATTAGGTATGAACGACTGATAAGAGAAGAAGGGCAGATGAAAAATTTTAGTAAAGGGACTTATTATAAAGACCTAAATTTTGACGTTCATACCATCAGTGACGAGTCATACGACCAAGCCGAAATATGTTTGGCCGAATTGGTCAAAGGAGATACGTATACTTGTCCTATAATGGCCAAGCCTAGACCATCGAGTAAAGATGAGCCCATGAAATATGGAAACATAAAGGCTAGAACGTTCTCGTTCGATGTAACCAAAGCTGACCTTATATTTGATAAATTATATAGGGATAAGCAGATAAAGCCGAGCGATAAGCATAAATTGCCAAACCCTGAACAAATTAAGGTAAAAAATATTGTAAGTAGCATAATGCATGGTCACATTTGACTAACAATTGCTTGGTTTTTTGCCATGTGTTGCAGGATGCCATTGAATAAGGACGAATTACGTTCAATGATAAGAAGAAGATGGCAGTGGATGAAAATCCTTTTTCACAGCCACTCGGAGTGAACATGGTTACATCTGATTTCAAAAACAAGTTGCCAAAATTCAAGTTGGTCATAGATGATGGAGAAGAGGACCCTAGACCACATCCCAACGTCTTTGAACGAATCAAGGGGAAAGAACCAAAAAAGGACGAAGACGTCTTGTGTGCAAGATGTAAAAGAGAAGTGAGTGGAACACGGAGAAATCAGGGATATGGCAGCATCCCTATCGCTCTACTTTCTTCCCAAACACTCAGTCAGGTAGAGGGCGAGGTACATCATTTTATAGAGGACCGCCTTTTGAGAGGCATTTCAGGCCAGCAGATAATGGGAGAACATTCAGGCCGCAACCTCGCCGGCCAAATGTATGACATTCGTTCCAGTATAATGCAGGAAGGGCAATACCCTTCGATGAGATGACTAGAACCCAACAAAGGCGTTTCCAACGAAACTATGGACGAATGATGAGGCAGCAACAGGGATTGCCACATCCTAAAGCGACTAAACTACTCAAGATAGCCAATCAAAATGTTCTCAAGGATAGTGAAGAAACCGGTACAGATGATCCAATGAAAGAGCTGCCAGAAACTTCTTCTGGGAGATCAAAGTTTGAGCGGGACAGAAGGGATGGAGAAGATCCGGATCAGCCCCTTACTATCCAGTTCGGTACATTGCCTTCTGTCGTGGCCAATAATTACTTACTAGCCAATAAATTCAAGAATAAAGAAAAAGAAGAAGAAGAAAGGGATGATAACGAAGGAGAGGCTTGCGTGCTGGAATGTGAAAAAGGCTAGACTTCTAGAGAGGCCTACAACGATGAAGAAGACGATGGGATGACAGACATTGAAGAAGAAATCGGCCTAGAAGCAGAAGGAAGAAGGAGAGGAGTATCGCACAATACTCTGTTGAAACAACTACATCGAGAGGGAGTTCGCGAAGTAGACTTGTTGAGAGAACCATCTGAGCGTCCTTTCGATTTCTACGTACTGTACGGGACACCCAACAGGAAGAAAAGAGTGCCTCGCTCTGAAAAGTATGGATCACCTCCAAGAATAATGCCCCCTTCCACAGGTTGGGTAACTGATGAGGAAGTATTAGAAAACAGTAAGAAGTAAATTCAGGAGACAGAGGCTCAGCGCGATATGCTGCACGTCGACTTATCACAGGGGGATAATTTGACAGAAAACAAGCAGGAAGTAGAAATAGAGGCTGCCGAAAAAGTCATTTTTAAACGGCCAGCCATGAAATTGACTAGACACTTGAGGCCATTGTACGTTAAAACTCTAGTTAACGGCATCCTTGTGGCAAAAGTGCTTGTCGACA